ACATATCTCGTTTCTAGAAGAAAAATGAACTTATACGTACATCACCAGCCACTATGCCTGCTTGACATGGCTTGTGTTTGGCATGATTGGAGAGTAAATCTCTCTCGCAAAAAGTAGATCTACGCAGACTCTTGGATGCTAATTTGTCTAATATCCGTCACTTAAATTTTAGGGCATATTAACTCGATCATGGATGTTGACTTGTATACCATTCATGAAGAAATTTTCACTCTGGTCGAACTGCATAGAATGACAAAATTTATTGTGAAGAGCAACATAATTAAAAGATAAAGCAATTTGAATTTTTTACTTGAAGTAAGCTTATTCTAAAATACAAATTAAATCACGGGTTTCGAATTTAAGATAGGAGCACCGCCAGAATTTCAATATGTACATAAAAAATATTACAATACAGAAACAGGCTACCTTAGGCTTACCTTGAACTCTACAAGGAGTGAAAGCGAATGGAAAAGCATCAAATTCCCTAGCCAAGAAAAAGCTATGACCCTATTAAATATCCACGTCTAGTTTCCTGACTTTTCCTGACTTGTATCAATTCTTTGACCCTGCCGGCCGCGCTGTTCTGACCTATACACGACCACAGTCATAAATACCTCTCTCAGCTTTCATCTACGTGTGAGAGAAGCCAACAGGCAAAATACTACATATTTACAAAAGCGAAACTCATGAACCGCCAAAATGGCCACTCTCAACTTTGGAGGTCTTCGAGAAACTCGTAACCAGGTTCTCCGTGTTATCGGCCAAAAGTTTACATCTGAGTGAGTGACACATTTGCATATTATGCCCCATAACAATAGTCGTTACTACGATTCGCTCTTCACAACTAAAAATAGCTTTAGCTATAGTGGCACCATTCCTTGCGACTTTAGGGAGGCAGTGTCCATGAGGCAGTTTAAACGCCTACTCAAAGGAGATGTATAAAGCACGGCATTAGTGGATGGCAGCTTTTCTTTAATTATCATTAATTATTTGATTATTTTTATTATATTATACATTAGGAATTAAATTTGACCCTGAATACATTACTACACTCGGGCTACTTACCGCTATTTAGGCTCCAAAAGGAAGCTTAAAATTCCACCCTAATTTCCAATCCGTTCATGCAATTACCCTTGATATGCTTGAAAACCGCAATAAACAAATGAATAACCAGTAAGACCCATAGTTATCATCACCTTGTACTTGTTGCCGTAGCCAAATCTGAAGCTTCGTCTGCCATTTCTAGCGTCTCCAACTGTAAGAAAAAACGAAAACTTGAACTACAGAAAGCAAAAATCACCTCATGTTATCTCCTAAGGTAATTGAAAAGATAATCCACACTTTGTCTGGAACTGAAGAAGACATCTTGTAGTAATAAACAACTAGGTGACAGGCCAAATCCTCAACCTTAACGTAGCAGAAAAGCTCCGAATGCACGGGTCAAGAAGCTGTTCAAAGAAGTAACCCTTTCCATCATCCATGGAGTCCAGAAATAAAGAAATACTTCAGTTTATCCCGTTGATATTACACCACTACACACACACATACACACACAAAAAAATGCTCGAATGGAATATTACACCGTGATGACTGCAATCTAGCTCACACTGAAATAAACATCCACATTAATTCGTAGTGGAGTTCCTGCCCACAGGTTTACAATTGAATTTTTATCCCCGCTCCTTCAAAATGTCCAAAATTTAGATGTGGGGCTTGCTGCCATCCTCCCCTGTTTTACACACTAAATTATTTATTGTTTGATCAGTGTTTGTCATAGGAAATAGTTTTCGTGGTTTGCATAGTCTGAAAAGTATAACCAACACAGCTGAACTGGCCAGAAGGGAGATTTACGACCGAAACCGAAGATATCAACAAAAAGCAACTTCATGCTACGGTAGCCACCAAATATCTTGTGTAAACAAATTGACAGTTTTCTTGTAGACAAGCCAAAATCTGCTAGAGTC